GGTGTCCTACCAACCTATCTCGCCTATTTTTTATTGACTTCCATAGAGTCCTCTGTTCTCCTATTCTTTCCAATACCTCTTCATTTCTAACCTTTTCCACCCACGTTATCCTCATCATCCGCCTATAACACCACATTTCGAACGCTTCTAACCTTTTCTTTTCCGCCGCGCCCACTGTCCATGTTTCGCACCCGTACAACGCTGTGCTCCAAATATACACCTTTAACAACCTGTTTCGAATTTCTAAATTAACCGTTCGCGAGTATTTAACATTATCAAATGCTTATATATATATATTACGTCAGAATAATATTGTTCTAGAGTAGTTCTTATTTCTATAGTTATTACCGGAACGGCCGATTCTTCCAGATTATTAGCTGGAATGTTCATTTTGCGTTATTCTTAAAGCGTTCCACAAATATTTACCATTTACATAAATGACCCGTGCGTGCGTATGGTATAAGTGTGTAAACGAAATATACCGGCTCATATAATAATCTGTACGTAAGTAGTAGGTATGGGTGAGATCCACAGAAGATCTCGTCAGTGGGTGTTTATGTCCACACATTCCTAATAAATATAATAATATTTGGTATGTACGATGTGTATATAAGCGCAATATTCCGAACGTGTAAGATATACATGCACGTACTACATCCATCGGCAAACAAAATAAAAGAATTTAAAAAATGATAAATTTCTTGCGTATAATGTACGTAGTATGAATGAAGTGAAGCAACAGGTGTGAAACATATGCTTTTGTGAGCTTTGACCTTTAAAATGTTCAAAATCGTAAAAAAGAACTTTCTACACATACATGTTACAGTAATAAGCGTTATATGGAAGCAATGAGCCCGGAGGACTCCGCGCACAGGCGACTGACTCTCCATGTCCATGTCTCTTCGCGCTTCCTTTCCGTGGGGCATCGTCATTCCTATTAGCGCGAACCGCGCGTTCGAGTTTAATGCCTCAATAAAGTGGCTTATAAATAATTGTGTCATGCGTTTATAATAAGTTCTTTTTTTATTTTAACAAAAACGTTTCGTCAACGTTCAAAGACACGCCGGGATAAACACATAAATCCCAAGGTTATGTACGCATATGCATGTGAAGAAGACGATTAATGGTGATCTGAATTTGAAGCAAGTGTCCGCATGTAATGGAAACGATGACTTTTTTGCGCATACACACATATCTAGGTATGTGTGTAATAATATCATAATTCCAGTGTACAAACTGGATCGTCTTTTGGACTAATTACTTTTTTTTAATGTAAGTGTAATGCCAGTGTTGTCTGTTGCCATGCCGTACACTTTAATTAAAGACTTAAAAATTTCCAAACCATAAAAATTTCTTCTAAATCTTGTTAATTTTTTAAACGGATTAACAAGATAACGTTGTTAAAGCAAAATGAAAAGAATGAAACTATTCTACATACCGTTATTCATTCTACTAGTTACAACATTAAAAGTTTCTTGGTATGTGGATGCACAAAAATTGGAAGTGTAGTACATTATGCATCAAGGGAAGAAGGTATGACATTTCCTCCTGTGGGTGTTGTTTGTTCCACCAAGTCGGAGACGAGGACGGCAATCCCCCGAGGAGGGGTGCTGTACTTTCTTTTTGGGATCCATCCCGCTGCTCCTAAAGTACGATTGTTCCTGATTTCCACGGATGAAAAGCAACATTGTCTTCTACGTAAGAAATCGGGAGGAAATACTATACTTCTTAAAATCAATTCCAGTTGTTAAGGAAGAAAATTACATCTAAAAGTCATTATCGTAAAGGTAGTCCATCCTAAGACTGGTTGGACACGCACCTTCGCTTATTTCTATCCTGAGCTAATCTTCGCATTTCTCCAAAACTAGAACATCCCACATTCTTAATCTAATCTAGGCCTACCTCTACTCCTTAATTCGTTTCTGCTTCTAATATGTTTCTGACTAGACCTTCCTTCCTGAGAAGGTGTCCTACCAACCTAGGGTTGCCATCTCTAAAATTTGGAAACCAGGGCAAGACGCGTGAATACTCCGGATTTTAGAGTCCAGAACCCGGACATGTCAACAGGTTTTTTTAAACATAGTCAGTGTAACAAAAAACAGTTGAAAATGTCATAAATCACCCTTTTATTTATTTTCAGACCTTAAAATTAAATTTAGTCATTCTTTATCATCATTTTCAATGTACCTAACAAAACAGAATCTTATAAAATAATTCGAAGTGGTCTGTATTCTTATTACTCTTATTACAGTTTGTTACAAATTGTTTTAATAATCAGTTAGATTTCTTTTACGTGTGTGGCGGGCGGCCCAANCGGATGCCCTCTAAACTAGGACAATCCGGGGAAACCCGGACGGATGGCAACCCTATACCAACCTATCTCGCCTATTTCTTATTGACTGCCATAGAGTCAGTCCTCTGTTCTCTTATTCTTTCAAAGGACTCTTCATTTCTAATCTTCTCTATCCACGGTATCCTCATCATTCGTTTGTAACACCACATTTCGAACGCTTCTAACATTTTCTTTACCGTCGCGCCCACCGTCCAGCTAAATTGTACGAAGAAAAATTGCTTCAACCGACCATATTACAAAAATTGATACTAAGTCGTGTGAATATTGGATAAAGCAAACAGACGTGATCTGAGCAGAATATTAATTATGTTATACCGTGAACAAACTAAATCTTCGCTTATGAAATCAAAAAATGGATGTCGTGAAAACTCGTATTTCGTACGGCGTTCTGTCCCAGGGGTTTCGGCTGGGGTGAAAATTCACATCCGGGAGGGAATGCTGCACTTTATTCCTTTCGGATTCTTTCTACTGAATGAAAAATCTTCATTATGACTTTATCTAAACTATATCTTTATCTATCTTATAGATTCTATCTGTTTTTTGTGATTTTATTTTTAACCCCAGAGGCATTAGGGACATTAAAAAAACAAAAATTAAAAGAAAATATGCTTTAGAAAGAGAATTTTCTTTTTTTATTTAAAGAAAATCAAAGATTTATTATTAAAGAAACTGAACACCTAACATAAACGATCTCCGAGTTTGTTGTCGTTATAACCAAGAATTACAGCGTTGACTAGAACATTGGGTAAATTTGAGAAACCATTTAAAACCGACGTTACATCAGATTTGTTGTTACAACCGATAAATTGATGTCGTCATAAAATATATGTACAAAAACATTAGAGAATTATTAATTTTATGGCCGGTGCGTTACGTTTTTTTTTTCTTTTGTTTCAGGAATTCATATACGAGTGTTTCAAGCAAATAGAAAACATGGTAAGTCAATCGGCGTCGTCTTCGAATTGCGTCCCGTGCGCTCCCGAGACTGATAACTCATTGTACGGACTGCGACCTGACGAATTCACACCCCCGCCATCGGCGTCCGATAAACTACAAGAACAAGAGTCCGCTGGTACTCCTACCGATGTGAGAGATGTCCACTTTTGAGAAACTGTAAGGTGATATATTATACAAACCTATATATAAATGGGTGGCCATGACGGCATTTTTATATGTAAGTAGAAATAAATAGACGGATTTGATGGATGGTACCGAAAAAAAAAAAAAGGAAACAAATACGATAGAAACGTGAAAGCTTTAAAACAAAGGCCCTACATTGATTTTAAAACACGCATAGCAGTGCCATATTTTTTTTTTGCATCAATAGTAACAGTTTTAAGAACGGAAAACGTTGTGCAATATTACTTATCGTTAATCAAATAGATAACGACAAAAAACATTTGACAAAATTCGTACCCTCTTTTTGTTTTATAATAATTATGTGTATAGTTCGTGTTTTTCAGTGTAGGATTTTTTTATAGTGTCTGACTGATTAAAAAAACAAAAAAATAAACAAAAAAAGAACGGTAGGTACCTTTTATACGGAAAACAAAAAATGGTGTTTTTCGATCATGGCTAACGGGGGAAGGCAATCAATTACGCTTTGATAAAAAATGATTAAGAATACTTACTTTATGAAAAATTGTTCACGATTGAACAATGAGGGGAGAACAAAAAATACGCGCTGAAATGAAACAAAAAAAGTTAAATAGTCAGTTGTAAATATTATAACTAATGTTAAATGCGAAAATGTCTTACAAACTCTGTTCCTATTTGCAGAAGTGTTCAAAAAAATGAATTTAGTTAGTTGTTAGTTTATTTTTATTTTGCAATCGCGGACTCGAACATAACAAGCAATAGAATAAATAATAGATTTCAAATAACCACAAGACTGTTTTAATATCTAATATTATACATTGTAATATTCTTAAACTCTACGAAAACGAGTTAAAGGTTTATTTTTCCTGTCTTCCAGCTTTATAGTAGTAATCCTAAATCTCATCTTACTATTAGTCATATGTCTACGTAAATGTTGTTTTTGAAGATGTTGTAAGAGTCCCTTTTGAACTTGTCATACAGAAACACATTCAGATATATTCCTATTATTAATTAGGATTTACGTTTCCCTACGTCATTTATCCAAATTTATTATTGTATAAAAGAGTTCCTATTTTTATTGTTATTAATGTAATTTGAAAATAGTCCTACAGATAAGTGTTTCTTATACAATAAGTTTGAAGGGAGGTTTCTTGGACGTTTTCGAAAGGAATTCAGTGGTCATCAATGCAATTGGTTTACTAGTGTATTTTATAAGTTTGTATTATTTAATTTTTTTTCTGGAAACTTAACTGCATCTAATTAC